GACTGGATGTTAGAATCTACAACCATAGCTTCATAATTCACAGAAAATTATGAAAAGAAGGCAATGGCAAGAACGATGGTGTGCAAACATTTAGATATTTCTAAGATAGCAAAGCATGAAAACAAGAACGCATTTACTAAATATTTCTAAACAAAATATTCCCGGCATGCCTGTCGGCATTTGCCATTCTTAGATCAAACACACTAATCTTGTGCACCTCCTCCACGGGGAAACGACTAGGACCCATGTCCTCACAACTTCCATCATTCTTCATGAACATCTGCAATGACCCAATCTTAACATTCTTTAATGAGCCTTCATACCCTTTCGAATAATTAAAGCCTTTGTGCAAGCACCTAACCAAAACTGTAGGAGGCACGCCAGCAAAGCCAATAGCCCTTTGGGATGATCTACTATGTATGCTGCAACTTCCCTCAGGGCTCCTTCTCCCACCCTTGTTCTCCTTTTCAAACCTCACCATCCTGAGATACGGCCAAGCCATGGGGGTTGTTCACTGCATTAGGCTTGGGATGATCCAATACGTATTGTGTTGCTTAATAAAAAGAAAGCCCATGCATTTATAGCCCATTTAAAGCCTCTCAGGCAAGCATTTAAGCCCATGGTTTAGAACCCAAGGTTGCGACTTTCAACTCATTTAACTGCCCCTTTACCCGCCAAAACCCTCGTCTCTGACCAGACTCTAAAACAATGGCGATCAATCTTCTTCTTGTTTCTTTGCTCTGCGTTCTCATCTCAACCGTTGTTTCACAGCCTGGCTCTCCTCCGTTTCCTCAAGAACTCATCAATGCCATCATCAGCCCCACTCCTTCACCTTCTTCTTCTTCAATCCCTCCAACCCCAACACCCTCAATCCCACAGACTCCTCTTGTCCCTGCTCTCTTTGTCATCGGCGACTCCTCTGTCGACTGTGGCAACAACAATTTCCTCGGAACTTTCGCTCGTGCTGACCACCTTCCCTACGGTCGAGACTTCGATACCCACCAACCCACTGGGAGGTTCTGTAATGGCAGAATCCCTGTTGATTATCTTGGTAAATGTTGCTTCTTTAAACACCCTTTTCTTGCTCTGATGGGTTGTTTCTGTGTTCTTGGTTCATTTCATGTCGATGATTTTTCTGATTGGCTCTTTTTGTCTTTCACGTCAGAATTCTTGTTTAATTTTCCAAGAAATGTAGAGGTTCAGTGAAGCCTTTGGTTTTCTTGGGACCCCCAAAATGGAAGAAATCTAAAGTTCACGGATTTTACCAACCAATTTCTTCATTTCTTGAAGGATTGAGTTCTGAATGTGTTTTCTTGAACCAGAATTCAGGATAAAATCTAAATTTTGAATGTTGAGAATCTGTGGCATGTTTCTTTCAATGGCATGTGTGTTTGATGAAACTGGCTTAGTTATTAAACTTTTTCTCATAAGGTTTTTTTGTGTGGAATTTTCTATCAGCACTTCGTCTCGGGCTGCCTTTTGTACCGAGTTATCTTGGGCAGAATGGAAGAGTGGAAGGTATGATTCAGGGATTGAATTATGCATCAGCTGGTGCTGGAATCATATTCACCAGTGGTTCGGAATTGGTATGTTTCAAATTTTCCCCTTGGTTGATTGATAATATTGCACCAGAAAGTAACAGAAATGTATTAATTTTGATATTGAACCAGAAGGCTTTTAAGCCTTTCAAGTGCTGTTAGCTTTGCAATATAAGCTCTTCATTTAATATGGTTTGATTGGGTATTTAAGGCTTCTTGATTTTGAATGACTTCGACTCTGCTGGGCTATTCCAACTATCAACCATTACTGATGTAAAATTTTCTACAGGGTCAACATGTTTCCTTCACCCAGCAAGTTCAGCAGTTTACAGATACCTACCAGCAGTTTATATTAAGTTTGGGCGAGCAAGCTGCTATTGATCTCATCTCGAATTCAGTGCTGTACATTTCAATTGGAATCAATGACTATATACATTACTATTTGCGTAATGTATCTAACGTGCAAAATCTGTATCTACCGTGGAGTTTCAATCAGTTTTTAGCATCTACATTGAGGCAGGAAATTAAGGTGATCTCCTAACCTTACTGATTTAACATATTCTTGTCTTTATATAATGATGGCTTCTAAAATAGCTTCCCAATTTGGAGTCTAACTGATTACTTAGAGATCTTGGTTTACTTTGATGGTGCAGAACTTGTACAGCATAAATGTCATGAAGGTGGTTGTGACGGGGCTGGCACCTATAGGCTGCGCTCCTCACTACTTATCTCAGTACAGAATGAAGGATGGACAGTGTGTTGAGGAGATAAACAACACGGTGATGGAGTTCAACTTTGTGATGAGGTATATGATTGAGGAGCTACGCGAAGAGCTTCCTAATTCCAACATCATTTTCTGTGATGTGTTTGAAGGTTCGATGGATATAATAAAAAACTCTGAACATCATGGTGAGAGGTTTTCTAAATTTATTTTTCCCCAGTTACCAAATCTGTTAGTGGTGTCCACATCTAATGCAGTGTGAATTATGATCATGTTCAGGTTTGAATGCCACAGCTGATGCTTGCTGTGGGTTGGGGGAGTACAAGGGTTTTGTCATGTGCTTATCACCAGAAATGGCTTGCAGTAATGCTTCTAACCATATCTGGTGGGATCAATTCCATCCAACTGATGCAGTCAATGCCATCCTGGCTGATAATGTGTGGAATGGCCTGCACACAAAAATGTGCTATCCCATGAACTTGGAGGAAATGGTAGCGTTTGACTCCTAAAGATTGGATGGAGAATCTGAGGAAATAGTTGTTTGCTATATAAACAGAGATTTGACGGAGAAGACTAAAGCGTATCATGCAAGCATGTCACCCCTGCTTGGAAACATGACTGAGATTGTGAATTTGATGTTACATTTCACTATAGAGGTGACATTGCCAAATTGTTGGCTGACGTCTGTTGGCAACTAAAAGTGCATTGTAATTTTGTGTTTTTCTGGTTTATGCAATGAGATCCAATTTAGAGGTAGTTGCTAGTTTCATCTTCAATGTCTCGTCTCAGCACAAAACTAGGAAAAGCACTTGTGATATCCCTGCAATGAGTATCAACTTCAATTTAGCTTGTGTTGATCATAAATTTACAGGATGGCAACCAAAATGAAATTGAAAAATAGATATTGTTGAGTTTTTTTTATCTGGTACAAATCGTTTTGAGGTTTTCACTGGTTGATATGTGTCAAGTATCAGATGAAAAACAGAAGGCTAGGACTACAAGCAAAAGAGGAATTACTTCAGGTATGGAACTGTCATGTTCTTCAATAAGGACGGATTTCGATCCACGAGTTCCCTCCACTCTTCCAGATCAATCTTTCCGTCTCCATTTAAATCTGCTTCCTCAAATGTCTATGGAGTTTGAAAGCAAAAGATGTACTCAGTTGATACATGACCAGGCGGATTACATGTAGCACCATCTTGCATGCCTTACCTTATCAATAATGGCTTCCACAATGTCATCAGAGAGGATCAAGTCTGACTCCTTCAGAAGCGCCAAAACCATCTCTTTCACCTTCAAACACTACTTCAATTAAATGCTTGGATTTGAAATAAGCTGTAATGGATCTTCTCAAGGTGTCTATGTTAATCATTGCGTTAAAAAAATAATGATTGCCTCTGTTTAGGACATGACAAGAACTAGGATTTGAAAGTGACTCTTTACCTCTTCACGTTCGATGAAGCCCGTCTGCCATATATCGTATAACTGAAATGCAACTGCCACATACTCTCTCAAAGTTTTAGTATAATCTTTACACATATAAGCAGGTTCAAATAAAAATGTACAGGATTGCTTACATGCAGCTTTTTCTGCTTGGGGTGCTTCTGGGTGGAAAACACTTAGACATCGAATAAACTCTTCAAATTCTATTACCCCGTCATGTTTCGAGTCAAACATATAGAAGATCTATTAGGATAAGCAAGGTCAAGATAAGTTGTCCCAAAAAAACCAAACAGAATGTTAGAATGGCAGTAAAAAAGATCAGCATTCCAAATTTTAAAGAAAAGCTACAAGTTACAATTTAAGTGTTACTTTCTTTCCCAAGTGCCAAAAAACTCAAAACCAACTTCAGGAAGCTCACCCTATCTGCAAAGAGACTTTGTTTTTTGCTGTTCCTGAATAAACCTAGCTGAAACTCTTCCTGCAAACGAAGTGTAGAATAATAACATACCACCAAATAATAGCTTTATAATATGTTCAAGCTTCATGTATCGATTCGAAACTAGAACTGATTTTTCAGTAATGGAACAGCAAGATGTTCAGCTACATGTAAACTTACTTTGCTTATATGCCCATCATCAACTATAGAACTGCTTAGCTTCCTGAACAACTCATACAGAGTTTTAATATCAGTTATCTTAACTGCAAAAACCAAAAATCTATGTTATCAGAGTCATGAGGCGAAACCTAAAACAGAAAAGTGCACCATAAAACAAGTAAATGAAAACAAAATGAAGCTTACAACATGTTTGAGCAGCAAGAACATCTGCGTTGTCACATTGAAGCCGCTGCTTCATGCAGACACAGCCCATCTAATCAATCTGTGTGAACAAATTGTCTTCTTTGAGGAGAATAAGTATATATATCATATCATAAGTGTTATCCAATAGAAGGTATATAGCTTTCAATGTGAAAGCCTGTTGGGTTTTTGTAGTTGCCTTTAAAATGGGCTAAGGTCACATTTTATAACGTCATAACCGTCACAATTGTTTGCACAACGAAGCATGTTCCAGCAGGACATTTTTTCCTATTGTTTCTCTCGGACCCTAGAAAAACTAGAAAAAGGTTTTACCTTCGAAACTTACTTTTTAAGCTAAGGTCAGGCGATCGCCAATGACTATTTGGATTATTTTGTTGGGGGAAGTCCCGAGTCTCGAATCCGAATTTAAATCTCATAAACAACAGTTGTTAGTCAAACGAAAAATTAAATAAATCTCAGGCTAGGGTCCATTCCCTATTTTGTATGGTCCATGTTGAAATAAATTACTGGTTAATTTCTAATTTGACAAACACCGAATAATTCTATAACATCTGCTTACAGAATTGGTGTGTTCCCTCGGTGGGTTTCCTTGAGGGACTTAATATCTTCATGTTCTAACTTGTACGATTTGGAGGAATTTGGAACTTGTGATAAGCAGGTGCACATGCCTTGACTGAAGATTTAGATTTTTAAAAAATAAAATAAAATTCCATAATTACGGCCATGGTTTCTTCTATATGAATTTGGAATCTGGTTCTTATTGTTCCTGGTAGAAGCGTCTTAGGAATGGAAACTTATTCAGTTGAGGACATAAAGTTCCTCTTTATAACATTCCTTTAACCATGAAAAGTTAAATATTGGCAGAAATTTGGAGGCATTAGGCAGAAATCTTGTCAATCTTAAGAAATGTCAACATAGAGCATCAATGAATCAACCATTGATTGATGTGAGTTTCACAATAAATCAACAAATCAACCATTGATTGATGTGAGTTTCGCAATACATTGCATTATTGCTTTTTCGAGCACGTAATTAACGAATTCTTAGCAAACTTTAGAAAGAACAGAAAAATCTGTTGCAAAGGCAGAGTTGTACCAAATTCGGGTATTTTCCACCAGAACAGAAAAAATTGCTCCAACGACAAAAAGAAAAATAAAATCTGTTGCAATGGCCACACAAGTAATGCTATTTAGATACATAAGGTGGTCGGCTAATGTGGTCAATTTTGTGTGTCTAAATAGCATTACTCTTCACGAGACGAGAGTTTGGAAACAATGATCCAACCAAATAAGGGGGAAAGATTATAAACATTCTAAACTAAAATTTACACTTTGTGTACAAATTAAACAGTTAAATTACATAATACACTGTGAACCACTAGAGTGTTTGCTGAGTGAGGCCTTTATTACCGAAAACTTTGTAGAAAACATACCACGCGATGCTTGATCTCAATTGGGGCTATGCTAAGGGGTGCAGCCTCAATAGTTTGTTTGGTTCCTTTCCTCTTCTATGTGCCATGCTTTACACAGGCTGCTTACTTGATGTGTCCGGCGTCTGAGGTGAAAAACTTTGGCACCGTCTATCTTTGTAATACTATTATATCTAATCTTTAACTTCAGTGTTGAGCACAAAGCTGGGAAACTGTATGGTTATGTCCCTAGAAAATGGAAACCAAATTTATTACCATGTAACTTTGAGGAAATGTGTTCTGGATTAGCATATTGAGTTAGTTGAAATTAAGAGAGCAATTTCATTTTGGAGCCTTGGAAAGAGCAGAGAGTTATATAAGTTGTGCCTTCATGAGACAACTAGGATTCTGCATTGTTAAACTCTTCAGCAAATGAGATTTCTTGTTTCAATGTATTGTCATCTGCTAACTATATTTAACCAATCACAATCAAATTAAGCAAACATCGACGCAAGAAACGAGTGCTGGTGAGATTAATAGGCTTTTGGGACTCACTTTAGATATGGAAGAGTCATATTCTTTATTAGAGACGGATGCTTTGCTACAAATTCTTTCCATTCTTCTTGATCAATTTTCCCGTCCCCTTTTAAATCTGCCTCCACCATTGTCTTCAGAGAAACGCAAGGAATAGTCAGATAGACAATGAGTAACACAGAACAAATATAACAAAGTGTAGAATAATCAAAACCTTATCGACAATTGATTCAATAACATCATTGGAAAGTTCCAGATCTGATTCACTCAATAGGGCTGACACCATTTCCTTCACCTGCCATGGAAACATTACCCACAACATGCATAGAGAGGTAGAAAGCATCAGAATTGCCGAAGTTTCTTTCTTTAATAGATAAATAAAAGATGTGGAAATATAAAACTGATGATATTTTGTACAAGCTACAGTTGATACTAACAAAAGACTATGGGACATCTCGATATAGCCTACGTATAATGAGCATGGGAGAATCACAACAACACATGAAAACTTGGTTCACATACATTGACAATGCCATTTAACTTGACCTAAAAAAGATGCATTGCTTAATCATTAACCATGAGCAAGAATAAGAACAGTCAAGCACAATAGTTGTGCTCAAATAACTACAATACAGAAAAGCGACCAAGATGAAAATTGCAAGGGATTCACCTCATCACGCTCAATGTAGCCGGTCTGTCGTAGATCATACAATCTGAATGCGACTGCAAAGCATATACTTTAAGAGTTTAGTGATCATAAATATGCTCGATTTTGTATTGAAAATAGCACAAAGAGAAGGAAATCATGATCTTCATTCATAACATAATACATCATACATGATATTTTTTCTGCTTCAGAAGCATTTGGGTGAAAAATACTTAATGACCGAACAAACTCTCCAAATTCAATAACCCCATTATGCTTGATGTCAAACAAGTCAAATACCTGCAATGGGAATATGCACATTTTTAGAACAACATCACAAATTCTCAATTGGGGTTCAGTTTCTTATTTTGAATATAATTCTTGTGGAAAGTTTCTTATTGTTTACTTTACATATCTCTGCTACATCGTTTGCGTTATTTGTATTGGTTAAGAGCTTGGTTTTCTTTTTCTTTTTCTTTTTCTTTTGTATGAAAGGTCAAAGTTCATAAAGTCCTCACACACTTGACTGTAGCATGCAGCATTTGATCCAAAGTACAAACTCACAAACACAAACTTGAAGAAAATTAAGTAATAATATAGGTTGCACTCACCCTGTCCGCAAAAAGATTCTGTTTACTGCTGCTCTGAAATAGTGCAAGTTGGAATTCCTCCTGTTCATATCATGTCAAATATTTAGTGCAAGCCATCTTAAGAAAATGAAACAGTTAAGATTCTATTTCGAGTCTGCAACAATTTCAGATTGCAGATCAAACACTAAGTCATCTCAAGTAATATGTCAGAAGATTGAAAATGCAACCTTAGCTAGAAATACCTTGTGTAGAAGACCATCTTTAATTATGGAACTGCTTAGTTTCTTATACAGATCATACAAGGCCTCCACTTCATTTACTGTAACTGTTAAATAATTGTAGGTACCAAATTTTAGAAATTTGAAATGTACAGATTATGATCAACCATACAAACACTGGCAATTAGCAAATAAACAAAAAAATTCAAACAGATAAGTATATGGGTGAGTCGGTGAATCAGTGATGGCGGTACTAATGTGGTGCACCTTGCACCTATGCAAACCCATAATAGCAGGCGAAAGAGGGAGGAATTCTATGGTAACACAATAAAAAAAAGCAACTCTCATTAAAAGTAAAGTAATAAACATCAGGCAATAGCACCGCAGTCGCAGAGTTTGTGTTTTGGCAGCTGCAACATTGCCTAGCATGACCAAGGTGCCAGAAAGGACGTGGCACTGCCTTGGAAGAACTTTAACATATGAATATAAAGGCCTAGACATAGTATATACTTCCTCCTCCCAACTCACAAAGAGAGAGGTTAGAGGAGGAAGGACAATCAGTAATAGAAAGTTATATGCACAGCACGGCATCAACACAATGGCTTCGTGGACAATGCCAGAAATAATTATGGGAGCATGCAGCCAACTCAATCAACATAAATTTGTTAAAGTTCCACAACAAGTGAAAAATTGTGCCAAGTAATTAGAGCAACTCTCGAGTCTACTACTTACAACTTACAAGCAGTTTCTGAAGCAAGAATAGTAGGGTCCTCATACCCAAATCTATGTCTATCAACTTTGGAACTCATCAAGCAAAAGCAGTGCAGGAAACGACGCATGGTCCAATATAAGATTATCGGATGTTTGATCTGCCAGAATCCAACGAAAAATGCATCAAATTAACAGGTATTATGAGCTGCAATTTCATCCCATCCCAGCAGAGAAAAGATAACACCACCAAGAAAATGGAGACTGAGCCACAAACTTTCCATGTTGAAATAAAAAATTAAACTACGGTCATGATTGACCCTTAAACAATCAATTTAGGATCAAATCCAGCAAATGTAGACAATATTTTAGACACCCATCTGCGCAAAATGGGTGTCAATAGTTAGTTAGTAAGCACTGTTTCATAGCCAGGGTCCAAAGCAAATGGTCATGATCTGGATACCAGTACTTTTTGGTGGGAATAAAATATATCAATTATCAATGGCATACTGCAACCATTTGTACAGGGAATACTAGATGAGATCTATCCAGCAATAAAAATTGAAAAAAAGCACTAACAATAGAACTGTTCCATTAATGCATGAAACATAAAAACAAAGTTTGTACCTTGCAGAGCCAAGCTGCAAAAACATTCAGAAAAAGTCAACCTGCAGAGCAAAACAGCAGTGTCTGCTTTCATATCCAAGATTTCCACCCTCCAGAACTCAAGCAAAAACAAACTATTTCCAAAATCTCATTGCACCTTCCTGACAAACAATGAAAATGAAAGAAACCTAATATCTACCTAAGTTGGCCTCAGCCAGCACACAACAGCAGCGTGCAAATTAAACCAGTTCCTCCCACCTCCCCACTAAAACTCCCAAAAGAGAAAAAATGGAAAGTATCACTAGAAAAAAAAGAAAAAAAGAAAGAGATATATGACAGAGAAAGAAATATAGATTTTGTTTGGGTTCGAGAAAACTGACCTGGGATAGTGGGTGTTGGTGCTCTTAAGCTTTAAAAGGAGTTGATGATGATAAAGCTATGTACTTTCCTTCAAAACTAAATCTTCCATTTATTAGTCTCCTTTGACACAGAACTAGTCCATCTTTCTTTCATTTTTTATTGGAATATTCTGCTCCTGACTTTGGTGTCAGATGATTTTAAAATCCTCAAGCAATCGCTTTCTGATACCATCATTTTCTCAATTTGCCTCCATTATTTTCTAGATTTCTTTTGCTTTCGTTTCTTTTTGTTATAGTTTATTTGCCAGATGTGCATTCTATACGCGCGTGGACGGTTTGATGTAATCACACACCGGTTGTTCTCATAGTTGACAATCACCTTGGAAAAAATCTAATCTCAGGTTACCATTATTGTTATTGATTTTGTTTTCTTAATATGTGACTCGTCAGCAGCGGTGAGCTTTGAATCTACGTGCTTTTCCAAAAAGAAGTTCAAAGTTAGAAGAGAGCTGTTGGATGCTGACCATTTCCCGACTTCCCTCGTGGAAACTGTTTGTTTATTCACAACATTGAGAAGTATAATCCTATACGGACGAGCTTCCCATGGATCTTGCTCACGCTTGTCATATAATGCCACATCTTAACTTCCACAATCGACAAAGAAACGAAAATTTCCATGAGACAAGGGATTAAATTATCGTATCTCTTACTTTCTATCTCACTCGTTACATGATGTGTATATATGCTTTTCTTTTGGTGCGTTTGGATGAGGGAAATAAACTTGGAATTTTGACAAAACTCAGAATTTCTAAATTGACATGAACCAATTCCCGTGTTTGGATAAAAAAAAACATAGAAATTTTGAAATTCCGCGTGGGAAAAAACATAGAATTTGGAGATCATAAATCCCAACTTTAAATTATATATAAAAGTCGTCATTTCTAAAATCCCAAGAGATTGAGTTTTTAAAAAAGACAACTTTACAAATAAATGTTAAATTCCGTGTTTTAAATCCGTCATCCAAACAAGAAACTTTACAAATTCTAGAACATTAATTTCCATCATTTTAAATTCCGTCATTTACGAAATTCTCTGTACGTTTAAATTTCCTCATCCAAACACACTTAAATATTTTGTTACGAGTTCCTACACCTCCTATTTGTCTCTCTCTCATTATGTTAGCTAGCATATAATGGGAGAAAAGAAACATACATGGCACCTATGTGATAGAAAAATCCTCTACCTTCTCTAGGATAATGAACATTTATCCTTAGACTCAAGGCAAAGAGTAACCTTACCTCTTTTTGTTGACTAAAACTTATGTTACGAGACTATACTCTGTGTTTATTTATTTGACCACATTAGCATTCTATGAGAGATATCCACGTAATGTGTATGTCTTATAATAAAAGGACGGTATTGTGAGAATGTGAATGAGTGAGCACGGTCCGGTTTTCATCTCACACCGGAACCATAATTGGTACTGTTCAACTAGTGCGGTTTGGTTTGGTTTGTGAAAAAAAATTAAGAAACAATCAATTCGATTTAAACCGATTTCGATGTGATTTTGATTTTTTCGATTTTGGACAAAATATTTTTTTGTATATATTTTTAATTTTTTAATTTTTTAATTTTTACAAATTCCAACTAATATTTTATTTTTTGGGCTTAAAAAATCACAAATTACTCAATTTCATGCAAAGAGAGATGATTG